ACCACTGCAGTCACGATATAGAACTATTTCATCACCACAAAGATGTTGTGTTATTTCTTTATAATTACACGTATTATTATTTTATAATTACACGTGTTATTTCCCATGTTATTTCTTTATAATTACACGTATATCCCTCCCCTCCACCGTCCTTGCCCACTGACCACCACTAATCTGTTTCCGTCTCCATAATTTTGCTGTTTAGAGGCTGTTATAGAGATGGAGTAATACAGTGTATGTGTCCTTTTGAGATTAGCTTGCTCATTTGGCAGAAAGCCCTTGGGTGCCATCCGGGTTGTTGCATGTATCAGTAGATTGTCCCTTTTTATTGCTGAGTGGTATTGTTCCAGTGTGTGGATGTGTACCACAGATGTTTAAACATTCTTCTTTTGAGGGGCATCTTGGTTATTTCCAGTTTTTAGCTATTACAAATATAGCTGCTATGAACAGTTGTGTACAGGTCTTTGTGTGGACATAATTTTTCATTTCTCTGGATAAATCCTGTGCATAGCGCAAGTTGTATGGCAAGTTTGTGTTTAGTGTTTTTCAGTAACTACCAGAGTGCTTTCCACAGTGGCTGTGTCATTTTGCACTCCCACCAGCTATGTATGAGAGAGCCAGCTTCACCTTGACAGCGTTTGCCATTGTCACTGGTTTACTTCATCTGTTCCAGTAAGTATGCAGTGATTTCTCATTCTCCTCATTTTCGTTTCCCTAACGGCCAGTGATGGCAAACGTCTTTTCATGTGCTTATTTGCCATCTGCATATCATCTTTGAAATGTCTCTTCGTGTCTTTTGCTCATTTTTTAATAGTGTTGCTTGTATTTTTACTGTCAAGTTTTCAGGGTTCTTTGTATATACTAGATATGAGTCGTTTGCAGATATGTGGTTTGCAAGTCATTTCTCCTATCATTTAGCTTGTCTTTTCATCCTCTTCACAGGGTCTTTTGCAGAGCAAAAGTTTTAACTTTTGATGAATCAGCTTTTTGATTCATTGATTGTCCTCTATTTTTCTGTTTCAAATTTCACTAATTTCTGCTCTTTATTTCCTTCCATTTTCTTGCTTTGGGTTTATTTTACTCTTCTCGGTTCTTAAGGTAGGAACTTAGATTATTGATTTGAGACTTCTTTTTTCTCATGTAAGCATGTAGTGTTAAAAATTTCCTCCTTAGCACCGCTTTAGCTATGTCCGACACATTTTAATATTTTGTATTTTAATTTTCATTCTGTTCATGCAGTTTTTAGTTTCCCTGAGACTTCCTCTTTGATCCATGGATTATTCAGAACTATGTTGTTTAGTTTCCAAGTATTTGGGGGATTTTCTCATTATCTTTCTGTTATTGATTTCTGAGTTAATTCCATTGTAGTCAGAAAGCACACTTTTATGGTTTTAATTCTTTTAAACTTGTTGAGGTTCGTTTTATGGTCCAGTATTAGATTTATTTTGGTCCCATGTGCACTTGAAAACAATGTGTGTTCTGCTCTTGTTGGGTGGAATGTTCTCTTCAGGTCGGTTGGATCCTGTAGGTTGATGGTGTTGAGTTCTTCTGTATCCTTGCTGATTTTCTCTCTCCTTTTTCCATCACTAGTTGAGAGAGAGGTAGAGTCTATATCTGTAATTGTGGACTTGTCTTTTTCTCCTTTGAGTTTTTGTTTCATATTTTGCAGCATTCTTTGGTACATACACATTTAGGAGTGCTCTGTCTTGACAGATTGACTCTTGCTATTTAATGTCCCTTTCTATCAGTGGCAATTTTCTTTGCTATAAAGTGTACTTTTTCTGATAGCAGTATGGCCACTCATACTTTCTTTGATTAATATTTTTGTGGAGTATCTTTTTACATCTTTCTAGTTTTAACCTGCATACAGGCATACATTGGAGATGTTGTGGGTTTGGTTCTAGACCACTGCAATGAAGTGAATATCACAATAAAGCGAGTTACACGAAAGTTTGGTTTCCCAGTCGATTTTAAAGTTATGTTTACACTGTACTGCCATCTGTTAAGTGTGCAATAGCATATGTCTAAAAAAACAGTGTATGTACCTTAATTAAAAAATACTTTATTGCTAAAAAATGCTAACCATCATCTGAGCCTTCAGCAAGTCATAGTAGTAACATCAAAGAGCACTGATCACAGATCCCCTTAACAAATATAATAATGATGAAAAAGTTTGAAATATAGTGAGAATTACCAAAATATGGCACAGAGACATGAAGTGGGCAAATGCTGTTGGAGAAGTGGCACCAGTAGACTTGCTTGACTCAGGGTTGCCAGAAACCTTCAATTTGTAAAAAAAAGACTAAATAAAAGCAAAACACAGTAAAACCAGGTGTGCCCGTATATTGTTAGATTTGAAGAGAGTTTCTCGTAGACAGTGTAGAGTTCAGTCACGTTTTTTTAATCCACTTATTTATTTATTTATTTAGGTTGCGCTGGGTCTTAGCTGTGGCGCGCAGGATCTTTGTTGTGGCATACAGGCTTTTAGTTGCAGCACATGGGAATCTAGTTACCTGACCAGGGATCGAACCCAGGCCCCCTGCATTGGGAGTGCAGAGTCCCAACCACCGGACCACCAGGGAAGTCCCATATCCGTGGTGTTTTGAGTGCTTCTCTCTGTGTAGCTTTTTAAGTGGTTGGTCTAGTTATTATCTTATATGTACATAGCTTTTCTTAGTCTGCGGTGTCAGCATTTACCAGTTTCAGTGATATGTAGAAACCTTATCTCCCTTTATGTCCCTTTACCCTCCTCCCTTTCTGTTTTAATTGAGGTTATACATTGAGAAGCACATTAGCATTATAATTTTTGCTTTAACTGCCAAACATAATTTAGCAAACACAAGAGGAGAAGGAAAGTAATTGTAATTTCCATATTTTTGCTCTTGTTCTTCCTTCCTTCCTGATGTTCCAGGATTCCTTCTTTTATCATTTCCTCTCTGTTTAGAGAACTTTCTTTAGCCAGCCTTTTAGAGTAGATATGTTGGTGACAAATTCTGTTAGTTTTTGTTCATCTGAGAATGTCTAGATTTGCTCCTCATTTTTGAAGGAAATTTTGCTGAATATAGAATTCTGAGTGGGCAGTTCTCGCAACGCTTGAAAATATGCAACTTCCTTTTGGGCTACCTGATTTCTGATGAGAAATTTGCTGGAGGCATTCAGAATTTTTTCTTTGCTCTTTAGTTTTTGGACTTTTCTTTGGGTTTATCCTCTTTAGAGTTTATTCAACCTTAAATTTATAGGATTATTTTATTTTTTTTGCCAAATTTGCCAATTTTTTTTTTTTTTTTCCTCACCACGCAGCTTGCAGGATCTTAGTTCCCCAACCAGGGATCGAACCCAGGTCCCCTGCAGTGGAAGCGTGGAGTACTAACCACTGGGCCACCAGGGAATTCCCAAATTTGACAAATTTTTAACCGTAATTTCTTTGGATGATTTTCCAGCCCTACCTCCTTTCTCCTCCCATCTGGGACTCGGAATACATGACTATTAGATGTGCTGTTGTCCAGCCCACGTGTCCCTGAAGCCCTGTTCATTTGTTTTTCAGTCTGTTTTCTCTTTGTCGTTCAGGTTGGGTTATTTCTGTTGCTGTCTTCAAGTTCATTGACTCTTTCCCCTGTCGTTTTCTGCTGCTGAGCTCATCCATTGACATTTTAATTTCAGGTATTGTGTTTTCTGGTTCTAAAATTTCTGTGGGTTTTGTTTTTTTATCTTTTATCTTTGCTGTGACTTTGTGTTCCTTTGCTGACTTCCTTTTATTTTTCATTTGTTTCAGGTGCATTTGTAGTTGCTCATTGAAGCATTTTATGATGGCTCCTAAAATCTTGTTTGGTAATTCTGTTATCTGTGTCATCTCAGTGTTGCTATCTATTGATCATCTTTTCTCATTTCACTTGAGATATTCCTGGTTCTTGCTATGGTGAGAGTTTTTTTTTTCTATTGAAACTTGGACATTTTGGGTATTATATTATGAGATTCCAGATCTTATTTAAATCTTATGCTTTGGCAAGTCATTTCTGATATCGCTCCAGCAGGGGAAGGGGGATACCCTTTGTTAATGCCAGTTTGGGGCTGAAGTTCAGGTTTTCCTCTTGGCCTTTGTTGACACTCATTTGGGGAGGGGCTCCATGTTGCTGCTGAGTGTGGGTGGGGGATCAGACCCCTGACTAGGCCTCTGCAGGTACCATCCGCCGAAAGGGTGAGGGGTGGAAGTGCTGACTTTCCACCAGGCCTCCTCTGGCAGGACCCCGGTGTGGAGGCAGAGGGGTGGTTTAAGTCCTGGCTCCTGCGTGGTGTCTACACTGCACATGGGGGGTTTGTTTTTCTGTCGTGTTTGATTGGAGTCGGGCAGTTGTATGTTTTCACTGCCCCTTTCACCTCCTTTGGCTGGAGACAGCAGGCTTTTGGGGACTGTGTTTGTTTGTTCCCACTGGTGTTTCTGGGTTGTTGGCTTCCCTGGCAGCCAGTGTAGGACACATGAAACAAACGAAAACCTGGAAGGCACCAGCGTGTTGTTCCTTGGGTCCTGAGGTCCCTAGCCAGTCTGCTGCTTTCTCTTCACCTCTCAGCATTTTTATGTTTCTTTCAAATATAAAGTCCAGGGATTCTAGCTGTGCTTAGTGAGAGGAGTAGAGAAAAGTATGTTTACTCCATCTTTCCAGAAGCAGAAGTCCAAATTTAATTAACTTTGAATAGGTAATACATTCATGTGACATACAAATTAAATGCTGTAAAAAGATGTACAGCGAAAATTAACTCTCTACCACCCACTTCCCCTCTTAGATGGCAACTACAGTTTCTGGTTTCCTCCTTCCTGAGGTAACTGTACATGTACTGGCGAATATACACAGACGTGTTTTTACCTAAGTGGTGGCGTACCACGGACACCGTTTTGCACCTTGCTTTTTTTCTCCTGACGCTCCATCTCTGAGAACGTTGTGGGTCACTTCGTGAACTCCTGTATTGCTTTTCATGGCCTCATGATATTCCACTGCATGGAGATGCCACATGTATGTAAGCAGTTGGAATGTTTAGGTGCTGACCCTGTTATCTATTATATTTGTTGTCCTTTCCATCTTAATGTTCTCCGCACACTTGTTGTCTTTGTTTACACCTGAGTCAGGGTCCTGTAGGAAGCTGTGGTGTGCTGGAGAAAGCTGCGGGTGATTTAGATCTGTGTCCTACAGTGAGTCATGTGCATACTCCGTGAATACTCAGAGGTGCTTACTGATAGCTACTCTTTAGACACATTTCTCCATCATGTTCTCAAGGACTATTTGGACCACATCTTGCTTTTCATAGGTATGAACAAAAGATTTTGAATATAAGCTCTATAAAGCTTTACTCTCTTTCATGGCTGTAGTTGCTTCCGTGTAATAGTTAAAAGAAGCACTTTTTATGGTTTGTCGCTGCTGCTGCTGCTAAAGGCCACTAAAACATAGGTCTCCTGTGATTTGGGGTCAGAGTACTTACATCTCCCTTTTGGGAGGGATAAGATTTACTTTGTTCTCAGGTGAATTTTTGAGTGTGGTAGCTTCATTCTCACTAAGGTTAGCATTGTTTTCTTTAAGGTGGTGAGTTTTCACTTGGTTTGATATATTGCCCTCAAATTTTTGGCAAACTTGAATGAAGTCATGAATTGAAGAATCTTTTTGTCGTTGTCTCTTTACAGTCTTTTAAGCTGACTTGGCAGTTTAATTCTAAATTCGGGCATAGTTAAGTTTGGTCTGCCCAGAGGGTGGAATCTGGCACTGCCACACTGCGAGGAGTTTTGAGGTCTGCTGCAAGCCCTCTCTCCAGGGGCCCTTGAAATGCTAACTGGCGCATCGGATGATTCTGTGTCAGTGCCCCACTGGATGGCATGGTTGGTGTTCAGAGATGGGCTGTGTTTGTTCCCACAGGTTGCCTTAGTAAGTGTTGGCCCTCCAGACTTTTCTGGCCCCATTCTTAACCTCATGGCCCTGATGGGCTCACTGCTTCTGACATGGATGCCTTCTCTAGGCTCAGCCCCCAGCATTTCCTGCAGAAATTCTGTCCTTTAGATTTGTGCCACCTTTCGTAACTTGAAAGCTTCGAGACTAAATGTGGCAATGAGTTGGAGTGAGAAAAGGAGATGGGCAAAGTGATTTCTGTCCTTTTTTTTTTCCACCTCTTTAGCCTGTTACTTAAAGATAGCTTTCTGAGAAAAAGGATTAAAATTCACTCCCGTAGCTTTCTTGCTATTCTTCATTTGTAATAAATTGAGGATTTCAGATAATCTACCTTTAAAAATAATTGTATTTGTTTACTAATTTGTTCTGGAATAAATTTGATGAAGAGTAGTTTTTAGGAACTCAGAGTTTAACCAGGGGTTAGGAGTTTAAATGGAAAATTGAATCTTTATGAAGCTTTCCACATTTCATTAGATGTTAATTCTGGAGTTAAGTTTTATATGATTATTTACTACTAAGTATATTCCTAAGTATCAAGGTTAAGCTCTTATTAAAATAATGTTTCAAAAAAGCCATTAATATTTTTACATAATACAATTGTTTGATTATTGTACTTTTCTTTTTGTCAGATACTAGTCAGCAACCTCTTAGTTTTTCTTTTAATGGGAAATCAGGTTTGTTTTTTGGTAACAAGACTAAAAATATGTTTTAAATCTGACAGAGTTTCATGAAAATGACATGAGGCATTTTTCAGTTTACTCTTTTCTTCTGTATTATATTTTAAATTTTGTCTCCTATTTTATATTTTAAAATTTGTAATCTATTTGATACTCCATGGGCATTTCACTTACTATCTTGAGGAATTTTTTTCAGATGAAACTGAGAAATATAGTAATGTAGCTTTTGTCAGCATTAAAAGCAGACCAGCTGAGTTCTTTTGTGCCATGCTGAAAATAATGCTGGAACATGGTAACTTGTTTCTGTGTTACTTTACGTACTCATTGGTAGAGTCTTTTCTATGAACACACTCGACTCCAAATAAAACCGTAATATTGAAAATTTACTTGTCCATACATAGGGATTTTATCATCCTCTCTTGACCATTGAAATGAATGAGTATGGTGATGGGCTCTTTGTATTGTTTTTCCTAAGGTATTGCCATCAGAGAGTCTGCAAAGGTGGTCGACCAAGCCCAGAGGAGGGTGTTGAGGGGTGTCGACGACCTGGACTTCTTCATAGGGGACGAAGCCATAGATAAACCCACGTATGCCACAAAGGTAAATGCCTGCTGGGATTCGCTTCTGTAAGTGCACAGCCAAGAGCAGAGCAGCAGGATGAGTGATGCAAAGTAGCGCTTTATGTAGAAACTGTACTTGTGAGTTGTAGAATATATTTTATTCTTATGTTTGAAAAGAGGCTTTGTTGTTGTTTTTGATGAGGGTACTTTTGATGTGGGGAATCAAGTGAATTTACAAATGCAGAGTTGACTCAGGGACCGCTGGGTTATGTGGAAAGCAAGGTCTGCTCCTGTGGAAACCTGTAGGTTGACTAATTAACCTGTCATATGTGGAGAGTTGCAGATTGATCAGTTAAAAAGAAGCACTAAAGTTATTTAACTAGACATTTGTTCTAGAAAAAACCACTCCCCAAACTCCAGATCGAATGGTATTGTAGATTAGCTCTGCTTTTCCATCTGTTACCCCATTGTTAAGACGATTCTTTGTGCTTAGAAATGGGTGGAGTAGAATATAAACAGTAATGTCATGGACTCTTTCTGGTGAAGTGCCTGTTGTTTCTTTCTATAAATTAACATTCACTCCATGCAGAGGAACACTGTCCAACAGCTCGCCGTCTTCTGTCTCTTCCGGGCCGGTGCTGTTGTTACACGGTTGCTCTTACCCGTGTGAGCTGAAGCTTGATGTAGTTTCGTTTCTCTTGCTTTAGTGGCCAATAAGACACGGAATAATTGAAGACTGGGACCTAATGGAAAGGTTCATGGAGCAAGTGATTTTTAAATATCTTCGAGCTGAGCCTGAGGATCATTATTTTTTAATGGTGAGTAACTGGACCTAAGAAGAGTATATCCCTGTCAGTTCCAAGTTGCGTAGATTTTAAACCCAAGGTGTTCTTCCCTGGGGAGTTTTTAATGCCTGCTAAAGCTGTTTGTATGAATGGGGGTGCTTTTTGGGCAAATAACAGAAAGTTCAACAAAAATGCCTGAAAGCCAAAAGGGACTTATTATCTCATGAAACAGAAAGGCCAGAGTCAGGCCGCTCCAGGGCTCGTTATTTCAGCAGCTCAGGGACGGAGGCAAGGACCAGCCTAGTTCAGTAGTTTGGCCTCTTGTGTTGGTTCCCCTCAAGCCCCAGGATGGCTGCCCAAGTTCCTTTACCACCTCTTGGTGTATTTGCTGTCAGAGGTAGAAGCACTTTTTAGGAATTAAGAATCCCTTTCCTAGAAACCTTCCCAGCAGATTTACCCCATCCGTCCATGCCTAGCCTGGTGCCTTGCAAGGGGAATGGAATTACCTTGACAGGTTTAGATTGATCAAGATTCTCTCCCTTGGGCTGGTGAGGGGACGATGTCTGATCACCTGGCCCCAAGAGGGTAGGTACGTAAACAGGCCTCTAACAGCAAGGAAGGTGGAAGGAGGAATGGATTTGGGTAGGAAACCAACTGTGCACTTGGATGTCCTCGAGAAGTAACCGGATGACTCTGATTTTTGCTTCTTTTATAGCAGAGGAAACCGAGTCAAGATGATATTTTGCCAGGGTTTAAATCGCACTCTAAAATAAAATTGAGCTGAGTTATGGGCCCTGATATTGTGGTACTTAATTGATCTTGTTCAGACAAAACAAAGCATTACAGAGAAATGAAAAGAAATATCTCTTGGTTATGGAATCTGTTCTGATTGTTCGACTCAACTTCACGTTTCCTTCCATGAAATGTTCTTTTTAAGTTAAAACTAATTACATGTACAGAACACTTGCTTTGTGGAGAGCAATTGCACATAGCATAAGCTGCACATTACAACCTCCATAATTTAGCTTTGGATTTTTTCCATGCAAGTATATTGTCAAAAGGTCCCTGATCCCCAATTATGTAGTTCTTTCTAATGTTAAATATGGAGTGTTCTTTAGAATTATCTGGCTTAAAATATGTTAACTACAAGGCTATTATGGTAGTTAGTGGAATCTGTATATTTAAAATCTATTACAACAAGTTCTTGAAAGTGCCCTGATCTTTTTTTCTGGCTATATCGCCGTAACTAGGAATTGCCAAGTGTGAATACTGTGTTTTACAGGCCACCATGTGTTTTCTCTCCTGTGCGTCTACAGTGGTTTATGTAAAATAAATGGAGCCAGGAACTGACAGTGTGTCTGAGTGGCTTTGTCTTTAAAGCCTCAGTAGATCACAGATTCCTACCTGTCCCATTTGGCGTCTTTCCATCTCTCGCGCATTGCGCAACAACCTGTGGGACAGGACTTCAGGAGCGCATGCCGCCCAGCAGCTTCCTTCTGTCCACCTCAGCTTCCCATGCCAGGTGGTCCCCTCTCGCTTCACTCAGAGGGACGCTTAGTCCTAGCCTGTGGAGCAGACACACACCACCAGGACACAGCCCACAGGAATTGTTTCCTACAGGAAATTATTTTCTGCTTTCGCTGGCATTATAGGCTAGTAAGATAAAACCACTTTCTCGGAAGGAGTTGGAGGTGTTTGGTGTGAATATGAAAAAGTCCATTTGCCAAAAATGAGTACCTGTAATGAATATTCAGAAATAATCAAGTTTATTAAATTAAACAGAGAAGATATTGTGTTCTGTGTATTGTGCTTTGAATTTTGCAAGGTCAGTTCATTGCATGATGTGATTGAGGAAGTAATGAGAATGGTACATTGCTTTCAGGTTTATGCCCTTAGTCGTCAGTTAATGGAATAGTTCAAGGGGAGTAAAGCAGGTATAGAGATTTATGGCCGAGTCTAGAAGTCAGTTGAAGACATTTACTGAACTGCTGTATCAGATAATGCTTTTTGGTATAAGAGAGTCTAAAGGGGTTAAATTAAAGGTCCCTCAGTAGCCCCCCAAATTGTTCTTTCTGGCTGCGGTGAACAGATGCCTGAGCATATAGGTGAGAATGAGCTCATTACAGCTCACGTTTTTCAAGACGTTTCGGAGACTTGGCTGTATCGGTCATGTGGATTGAGCAGATGGCAAATGGGAATCCTACTCTTTTCTCCAACACTGAAGTGCCCAGAGTTCAAAACAGAAGCATATATTTTAAAGAATTGCAGTGCTCTTGAGTGGAAATCGAGTTACAACTTTAGAAGAGATTGGCAGACTTTTTGAATATGAATCAAGGAGGAAGAGCAAGCAGCACGTGCTGATCAAGAATGCCTGAGAGCCAGGAGCCGGAAAGACGGACATCCCAGCTTAAAGAGAGAGAGAGAGAGAGAGAGAGAACCGCCCTTCCTTCGTCTTTTGTTCCATTCGGGTCCTCAGTGGCTCAGATGACACCCGCCCATATTGGTGAAGGCGTGTCTCTGTTCTCAGTCCGCTGAATGCTAATCTCTTCCAGTGACACCCTCACAGACACACCCAGAAATGATGTACCAGCTCTCCGGGTGTCCCTTAGCCTAGTCAAGCTGACCATGACATGTGGTCCATGACATGTGGTAAGTCCTGACTCGCCGTAATAGTTGCCTTCTTGGCTCTTGAGAATGAAGTAGACCTGCTGTGTCCAGTACGGAAGCCACCAGCCAGTGCGAAGGTTGACAGCCCTGGGTATGCTAAGTCCGTCACCCCTGGCCCACGTGCTTTCCACCTTACAGTGCCTTATCTCCTCTCCTGGTCTCCCTCCCTTCAGGATTTATATTTTTAAAAAGGTTTCTTTACTGCAGTTATAGAGAGGCTTGGGGGTGGAACAGTATTAGGTACATGTGTTCAGTTTGCTGTCTTTATCCAGAAATATGGATTGGTTTTATGGAACGGATTAATTCTTTATTTTTGAATTCATACCAGATGATGTTTCACCATTATTATGAATAAATTTGTTTGTGTAACTTGCATTCATGTGATGTTTTAATCATATGCTTCAGTATTAAAAAAAAATAAGAAAAACTTGATATCTCCTATTTAGATCTTGTTGTAAATAATGGTTTGGGGAAAGTTTCATTTAAATTGGTCTCCTAAAGGAACAGTTACTGGTGGTAAACAAAAGAAATGGAGGATTGAGGAAAAAATGGGTTTATGATTATGATTCTCAGAACCCATAAGAATATGCCTTTAATAATGCTGAATTTGATTCAGGAGCCAGGAGAGCCTAATTACATTGTAAACATTCCCTTAAATAAAAGTGTGTAGGTTTTAATGTAAATTCTTCACAGATGGTGAATCGTTTGGCAGCAAGTAATTAAATATTGGTTTTAGCAAGTTAAGGGTTTTATTTTCCTTACATACATTTGTAGTAGGGAGGGCAGTGCTGGCAGGGCAGCATCCTGGTGTCTGTCATTAGCGGTCTCTGTGCTCTAGTATCTCTAGCGTATGGCTTTCATTCCACGGTTACCTGGTGACCCCACGCTGGCTCCTGCAGCTCCATCATCACCTCTGCATTCCAGGAAAGAAGGCATTAAGAGCAGGCAGAAGCGAGTCTACTGCTTGAGTCTGCCTTCACCCCTGTAAGGAGCTTTCCTAGAAGCCACATCCATCAGCTTTTGCTTCTTATTGGCCAGAACTTACTCACTTAGCCACCCCTGTCCATGAGGAAGTCTGGGAAATGCTTTTCCTCTGGGCCTGTGATTGATCAGTGGTCTGTCATTAAGGCAGAAGGGAGAATGGGTACAGGGTAGGCAAGTTGCAGTGCCTTCCATAATGATGTGACTACAGGTATGAAGACAGTGGCAAGACGAGAATTCATTCAACTGTCTTCACAACTCTGGCTGGATGTGGCGAGTGTCATCCCCATCGGCAGCCAGAAGGCCAGGAAAGCCATGTCGAGATGCAGCTGCTTCTGCTCTGTGTTGCCGTCTTGCCTCTGTGAGTTTCTCCGTCTGGATAAATAGATCAGGAAGTTGTATTGGGAGTTTCTGTGGTCTTTACACACAGGCTGTAACCCAGGGTTTCACAACTCTTGTAAAGATTTTTTTTATTATAGAACTGTAAGTGTGATTTAGAAAATTTGAAAGATATCTGTGGGACTTTTTACATCTCATTAACATAAATATTAACGTTTAGTATATCTTCATTTAATCTTTTCACCCATGTTTTTGTATGACTTTGCATTTAATATTGTGTCCTCTGTCCCTCTTCCCCCATTTTCTTACACTCTTTTCATAATCCTCATTTTAATGGCTATACAATCCTCTATCCAGTGAATATTTCCTGTTTAGCAGTTTCACTATTTTTAGATGTTTACTTTTGTTTCCAATTTCTTGGTTTTCTAAGAAGTAATATGAAGTAATCTTTGCACAGTGGTTTCTATATTAGCATTTTTTATATTAAAAGTATAAAAATTATATATAATTTGGGGGTACAGAAGTATTAATAATTTTGAATCTTTAGCATACCATTTCACGCTGAAATCTTCAGTGTACTAGAGGCCACATTATTAGAACTCTTGTCAGAATTGATTAATATTTTTGATTATTTGTTGTCAACTTGCATTTTTAATAACTTTGACCTTAAACATTTTTTCATGTGTTCATTAGCTGTATTTTCTCTTTCGTGAATTGCCTATTCATGTCCCGTGTTTTGTACATATCAGTTTTATTGCTTTTCCTATTGCTGTGATTTCTATGATCTTTTTTTTACCTAAAAGTTTCTTTTGTGATAAAATGTACATAAAATTTACCATTTTAACCATTTTTGAATGTACAGTTTGATGAATTGAGTACATGCACATTGCTGTGCACCCGTTACCACCATCCGTCTCCAGAACTTTCTCGTCTTCCAAACTGAAACTCTGACCCCATTGAAGAATAGCTCCCTCTTCCTGCTTCCTCCAGCCCCTGGCACCCCCCCCCCCCATCCTACTTTCTGTGTCTATGACTGTAACTATTCTAGATCCTCATATAAGTGGAATCTTACAGTATTTTTCCTTTTGTGACTGGCGTATTTCACTTAGTATAATGTCTTCAGGGTTCAGCCACATTGTAGCATGTGTCAGAATTTCCTTCTTTTCAGGGCTGAATAATATTGTTTTATATGTATCACACTTTGTTTATACCGTGAACTCTTCCTTATAATAGGAAGCTTTTGTCAGGAGCAGATACTTTTTTTCTCAATTGATTTTTTTTTTCCCTTTGTAGATTATATTTTCGAATCTGTAAGTTTTTATGTAGTAAACCTGTTTTCCTTTGATGTTTATACATAATTTTCATCCATTTGGGATATATTTGGAACTTCATTTGACACTGGACTTAAACCCGGAAGAATCCAGGAGCCAGGGTCAATCTACTTCTTGCTGGGAATGTCTCCTGTAGGCTCACTTTTTGCTTCAAACCAAATAGGCAGCTCTTAGCCAGTGGGGAAGAAATGTTCCTCGACTGTGCTCACACTTTTCATGCCTTTTTAGTCTTTTTCTCTTGATCCTTTTTTCCTCTCTGCTCAGTTTAAATGCTTTGTTTCTAAAGTTAACTTATTAAGGTGCTTGCATTTCTCTTCATGGTGAGAAAAGATTTTATAGATCTCTGTAGCTAATATATATAATTTCTTCTGGTGTGAATTACATTATTGATGGTATAGCTGACATTTATTCAGCGCTTGCTATGTGCCCTGCCCCTCCCCTCACCAAGTATTTACATCTATTCACTCATTTATTTAATCCCACCAACAACCCTGGGAGGGGGTAGTTATTAGGCCTCTTTTTCAGATGGACAGGAGGTGCTTTAAGGAAATACATTGTAGCCAGTACTGTTGGAAGGTGCAGCTATTATTCATGTGCTTTAAATGCAAGAAATCTAAAATAGTAATCATAACACAGTGCCAGCTATGTGCTGGGCGCTTTAAGGTATTAACAAATTTAATCTCAACCCCCTGAGGTAGGAATGTTAAAATAAGTTATGTTGTTGTTGGGTGACTTTCAGATCCCTTATTTACAATCTGCTTTTGATGACTTTATTATTTCTCACATATGTCTTAAGATTGCTTTCTCTCTCCCATCCAGGGAATATTATATATTGATTCTAATCACAGTAATTAAAACTTGGGGTGCTGCGTTTGAGCTTTCCATCATTGCTATACAAGAGTCTAAGCTAAAGGCCCCTGCGAGCTGACAGCCAGACTTGCTTATTTGTTTGAAGCGATGACATGCACAGCACAGAATTCAAAAGGTGCAGAAGGATTTCCAGTGCACGTGTGTCTCCTTCCCAGCTCTGTGCTGCCCCCCAGATCCCCTTCCTGGAGGAAAGCACCTTAACCGGTTCTTAACCAGAGATAATTGTGTGCAGGCATATGGATTATACATAATCTTGTTTTATAAAATGGTAATGAAATACACATATGGTGGTAACCTTGTTTTTTATTGTAAAACCTTTAAAAATTGTGATTAAAAACATATGAAATTTACTCCCTTAACCTTTTTTAAGTGTGTAGTTCAGAGTGTTACCTGTATTCGCATTGTTGTGTGACAGGTCTCTAGAACCTTCGCATCCTGCAGAACTGAAGCTCTGCCCATTGAACAGCTCCCTGTTCCTCGCCCCCATACACCTTGATTTTTTATAAAAAAGTCGTTGATACAGAAGAACATTTAAGAATGTGTAAAGTGTGGAGATGCCTTTCTCTTTTCACTTAACTGTTTATCATAGAGATTGTTTCATACCAGCACGCAAAAAGCTCATCCTTTTTAATTGCTGCAAAGTGTAGCGTTTTATGGATGTGGATAATTTGTTTAATCAGTTCCTAGTGATGGGCATTTAGGTTTTTTCTTTTTTAATATTTTATTTATTTATTTGGCTGTGCCGGGTCTTGGTTGCGGCATGTGGGCTCCTTAGTTGCAGCTTGCGGGCTCCTTAGTTGCGGCACACACGTGAGATCTAGTTCTCTGACTAGGGATCGAACCCGGGCTGCCTGCGTTGGGAGCATGGAGTCCTAATCACTGGACAACCAGGGAAGTCCCAAGGTTTTTTCTGATCTTGGAAGCAACGCCGACTTTGGACCTCTCTGAGGCACCTTGTTTTTTCTTGCCTAGAGAATGTAATTTGATTTTGTTCCATGGTCTTAGCTACGAGACTTTAGTCTTTAGTGAGTTTCTCACTGGTACTTGCTGATGATTTTAGTAACAGTAACTCACCACATGCTGTGTGCTGCCATGAGCACTTTATTTAGACTCCTGTGAGGTCAGTGCTCATTACACACTGAGACAGGAAATCACTTTCTAAACTTAGTAAAATTGAAGGTGGGACAAGCTCTCCTTTTAACCGGGCTGGTGTGGCCTGCCACTGTGCGACAGGTGTGTGTGGCCTTAGTTCAGCTGTTCTACTATATGCTTTGCTTTCTGGTTTTAATATGTTTTATTTATGTATTAGTATTCTAAGACTTATTATTTATAAAAATAATTCATAATAATTCATTAAAACTATTTAATGTAACTACCCTTCTGTATATTTACCTGTGTTTGTTTAGGTGTGATTACTTCCTACTGTGCTTAGTGATCAGGTTGGTACATTTCCACATTTTCTTACCTTTTCTTTCTTCCTCTGTCACCTGCTTTTGATTGATCATGTTACTAAACTTATTCTGCTATTTACAACTTTAGGTTTACTGATGTCTCTGATACTCTATAATAAGACAATCATCTTTTGATTCCATGGTACGAGGATATCAATGTCTATATTCTCTCCTTCCATCTATACCTCTCCTTCCATCTGTATCTCTCAACTTGATGCTGGTTCTGCTGTTTTAATTTATAATGTTTGCATTCTGTTCTATAGCTGTTATTCCCTGGAAAGAAGAATCTGTATTCCTACATCTTAAATGGATTAATTGCTCACTGTGAGTCTTTGGCCATACTTTCTGCATTCTTATCTTCTAATAGTTAATTCATGAAGGCTTCATAGGAACCAAATTCTCCCAAGTTCTTACATGTTTAAAGGTCCTTTGTTTTTGCAACATACTTGATTGGCAGTGTGGCCAGATGTAGAATTCTTGGGTCACACCTTCCTGCCCTGAAGACTCCGTAAGTGTGGCCCCATGTGTCCCAGTGCTACAAATGTATCTGTGTTGATGGCCAAGGCTGGCTGTACTTTTCCTGCTTTCAGGGTGTTTTAGGTGCTCGAACTAAGCATAACAAAATCCCACAGGCTGAGTGGCTTACCCAGTAGACATTTGTTTTCTCACAGTTCTGGAGGCTTTAGGTCCGAGATCAGCGTGCTGTCAGGGTTGGTTTCTGGTGAGACCTTCCTTCCTGGTGTGCAGATGGCCGCCTTCCCGCTGTGTCCTCATGCGGTCTTTCCTCTGTGCGTGTGTGAGAGAGAGCTCTCTGGTGTCTCTTCCTTTTCTTACAAAGACATTGGTCCTCTCGAATTAGGGCTTCCCCCATGACCTCATTTAACCTTGATTACCTCCCCAGAGGCTTCGTCCCCAGATGCGGTCACACTGGGGGTTGGGCTTCAACTTAGGTATTTTGGGAGACACAGCTCAGTGTATAACAAAGGGTAATGTGGGAGTTTTTGTCAAAAGGTCCAGAGAATTTTTATTTATTCTTTCTTTCTTTCTTTCTTTCTTTGTTTTGCAGCTTAAATATGTGATGTATAACCATATTTATTGACATGGAAAAATGTTCACAACCTATTGCTGAATGACAAAAAAGCAGGTTTATTTATTCTTTTTATCTTTCTGTAATCCTGTTAATTTCCTCCTATTTGATAATGGTTATTATTTTAAAATAGATATTTGAATTTTTTGAAATGTCTTTATCATGATTTTCATCTGCTGTATTTTTACATTTTTCTGGGTACATGTTTTTTTGCCTGCCATTTGTTTTTCCTGTTACTTTCCCCTCTTCCCTCTCTTTTTCTTTCAGTGTCTTTATATGGCCTTTGGCTGGTTTCTTTGTGTTCTTTCCTCATGTTTGAATGAGGGGAATTCTTCTTGGACAGGGTGTGTGTGTGAGTTGAGGCCGGGCGGGGGAAGGTGTCTGGGTGAAGCTGCTTCTGCCCAGCTTTTTCTGCCTCGCAGCTGATGGCAAAGATGCTTCGTCTAACCTTGCGGCCTGTGCTCTGATGGCAGGTGGGGCTTGTGGAGGGAGGCTTCTCAGCTGTTCTGCTCAAACTGGTCTTTTTCCAAGCAAGGCTCACTGCTTTTCCTCCCTCTGGAGACCTGTGTAGCTTGCCTGGGGTCTGAAGTCACTGGTGTTCCCTCTTGGCATCCTCACTCGTCTTGGTGGGGTTATTACTACCCTTGGCAACTTGCTGCCGGGCTCTTCAGTTTCAGGGTGTTTGGCTGTTATGTTATTGAAGGTAGAGTTCACTTTTCTCTAACTTGTTCCTGTTTTGGGGTGGTTAATAAGAGCAGAAGTGTTCAGAGAGGGCTTTACTCTGCTGTGTCAAAGCTTTTTTTTTTTTTTTTTTGTGGTACGTGGGCCTCTCACTGTTGTGGCCTCTCCCGTTGCGGAGCACAGGCTCCGGACGCACAGGCTCAGTGGCCATGGCTCACGGGCCCAGCCTCTCCGCGGCATGTGGGATCTTCCTGGACCGGGGCACGATCCCATGTCCCCTGCATTGGCAGGCGAATTCTCAACCACTGCGCCACCAGGGAAGCCCTGTGTCAAAGCTTTTAAGCCCCGCAGCCAAAGTTCTTTAAGACAATTTCTTTAAGTACAAATTTCTTTAGAGGATGCTCTGGGTGTGCGCTACCTGTCAAATCAGGAAGTTGTACAGCATCCTAATTATAACATGCTTTTAGGTTAACTTTTTTAAGATTCTGATATAGTTACATGAAATTTGGGTGAACACTAAATACAGTGAATGTTTTCTTACAGACAGAACCTCCACTGAACACACCAGAAAACAGAGAATATCTTGCAGAAATTATGTTTGAATCATTTAATGTACCAGGACTCTACATTGCAGTTCAGGTAAAAACAAAGTGATTTTTATGATTCCCAAATGACCTTAGCTGTCTAATAGTGGAAGAAATGGTGATTCTCAAGGCCTCTGTTGTAAGATTGTGCTGTGCGTTCTTCCTTTTCCACACCGTACACACACACACCACGCCCACCCCATTCAGGTTTGAACTCAAACACTGTACAGACCATGTTCTGTGATTTATATCTTCATGTTTTTACTGCTGGTATAGAGCTTGTCCAGCTTTTGTCTTTTTACATGCTTTAGAATCTAATGTATTCTTCTCTGGATGACAAGATTGATATGATGGTTCTTTTTAAAACAAAACATATGTCTCTAGAGGGTTCCGCCTCTGGGATTTGGGCTCCTGTGGTTCCATGAGCTTGTAGGACTTCCTTTGAAGCTACTTGTTCTTAGTGTGGGGATTTTTGTTGGTTTTGGATGTCATTATTTATCTGCCACCCTGTATAAGGGAATTGACTGGGATCTTGGGGAATAAATTTTTAAAAAGTATCTCCTAAAATGTCTTCTGCATATTCCAGTCCCTTCTAAGAAAAAGGAGAAGGAGTTGCATAGAAAATTAATTTGGGAGATAGCACAGGCTATTGCCTCTGGTGATTCTCTCCGGCTTTTCTTTGCAAAACTTTGATTTATTTTATTGAAAACTTGACCCCTCCAGATGAAGTATACAAAATTTGTGTGTTAGTTGTTCAATTTGGAATTTGAATTTTGGGGGGAAGATGGAGGATAAGGAAGGGAAAGAGTTACTCGTAAGAAAAGTCTTATTGATTGAACCTGAGAACAATCAGGTGCAGTCCTTGGGAAGAGTTTCCCCGAATGCTGATGGTCTCCGTGTCTTTGGTGCAGGCAGTGCTGGCCTTAGCAGCGTCTTGGACCTCGCGACAAGTGGGCGAACGTACGTTAACGGGGATCGTCATCGACAGTGGGGATGGGGTCACCCATGCTATCCCAGTGGTAAGCAGAGTGTTCAGTGCCTCACTTTCTGTAGGCCTCCCCCGACTGGAGGTAAGGGGAGAGATTAAAGGAAAAAACCCTTCTGTAATTAAAATACCACTTTAGAAACCGTAACTGTACTTAGCAAAGGTAACAAGAGTCTTTAAACTCAGGTATGTGAGAAAGAAGAAGAAAACCAGTGTCTTTGGTGCTGGCAAGTTGGGATTCATGCTGGGAAATTTCTGCAATCAGGATGTCAGCAGTCATTCAGGGTCTCCAGGGCTCTGCTTGATCACCAGGGCTACATCACCAGGAGGGCCTTCCTGGCTTACGTTCTGAGCTGTCAGCTTGGGTATCAGTAGGTGTGGTGCACGACCGCTCTGAAGGATGAGCTCTGTGTTCTGTGACAAGATGTGGACGGCTTTACCCAGCTCATGCTTTAGAGAAATCGCTTCTTGTTTTTCAAAATTTATTTAAGAGCCAAGAAGGGGAGATTGTTCCTTTTGACTTGCAGAATGCTCTGCAGTGTCACTTTTTGGTTTTAATTTTCAAAATATTAGAGAAATTATTCCTAATTCAGGTTCAAGAGACAATGTCTATATTTTTCTTTCGGTCCAGTGGACTATTTAAATGAATTATTTGAAGTTTGCTTTTTTTTTTTTTTGAGGTACGCGGGCTTCTCACTGTTGTGGTCTCTCCCGTTGCGGAGCACAGGCTCCGGACGCGCAGGCTCAGCGGCCATGGCTCGCGGGCCCAGCCGCTCCGCGGCATGTGGGATCTTCCCGGACCGGGGCACGAACCCGTGTCCCCTGCATCGGCAGGCGGACTCTCAACCACTGCACCACCAGGGAAGCCCCTGAAGTTTGCTTTTTTGAAGATGAATCGAAGCTGCCTGCAACGGGACACACAGTGGACAGTCAGACCTCCTCTTCCTTCTCATCTTCCTCCTCCAGGCCCCCTGCTCAGAGAGCCCTGTTACTAGTTATTTATGTATATTACAGGCATATTTTCTGCACATATGGGGTGTGTGTGTGTGTGTATACCTCCTTTTAAAAGGTGTAGGCCCTCGGGCCGAGCTGCGGGCGGTGGGCAAAGAGCTGTAGCTCCCTTCCTGGCACTGGCAGGGGGCGGCCCAGCAAGAGGATCGCAGCTCCTCCCAGCGTGGTCTCACACGGCAGAGCATTTGGGTGAACTGGCCAGAATCACTCCTAACAAGTGCCGCTCTTTGTACAGTAAACGGGACCATTTATTGAGTACCTAACTACTGGTCCCAAACAGGGCTGTGAGCGGGACTTACTCTGTTTCATGAATTCTGTATTATAAACCCCGTTTGCCCCATATTATGGATGAAGGAACTGAGGATGAAACATGTTGCCAGATGTGTCCACGGTCACTCAGCCCACAGACGTGGAACCGGATTGAGTCCAGGTTGTTAGAAGCCGTGTCCTGCCTGCTAACCAAATTGTTGACTTTTAAATACAGGTCCATTTATAGTCGTTTTAATGATTTTATAGATAAACTTCTTCCTTTCTGTTAGAGGAAGAAAAAAATGATGATCCATTGTTCTGACAAACGGCAGTACTTTTTGGAAATGAACCATTTCATGTGGTTTTTCTCTTCACATTCCTGACGAAGACGTCATTTTGGTGGCTTACAGGGCATCTCCGGTTCTACTAACGGAATTGTGCCAGTGGTCGTTTGAAAAGACTTCCAGGCCTGAGCTGTGCACAGAGTGGGGACTCAGTAAATGCAGTGACGCGGGCGGGGCGGGAGACTGACTTAGCGCCCAGGGAGCCCTTCTCTCCTGGAGTCGCTCACACACCGTCTGTCTCCTCTTCTTCCTAGGCAGAAGGGTATGTCATTGGGAGCTGCATCAAACACATCCCTATCGCAGGGAGAGATATTACGTATTTCATGCAACAGCTGCTGAGGGAGCGGGAGGTGGGGATTCCTCCGGAGCAGTCGCTGGAGACTGCCAAAGCCATCAAGGTAAGAGCAGGAGCAAACGGGGCTGGCTTGCGGGTGAGAGAGGTGTTTGGGTGCTTCCCTCGCTGCCGAGACCCCCCGCCCTCACCTTCCTTTCTCCCCACTCCCCACGAATGTGGGTCTCGATCTGTTTATGCTTGTGGAGCTTCCAGCTACGCATGCGAACAGCCCGACCGCTGGGATTGAGCGCCCTACGCAGTACAGCATCGTTTCATTGGCGCCTGAGCAGGTAGACCCTTCAGTTAGCTGGACGTGTCTCCCACGTCTCCCTTCAAGTTCATTTCTAGAATAAGGAACAGGCAGCAGCAGCAGCGACCGTTAGGAATCCTGTGAGGTCAGCCAGTATTCACACTGGCTGACCTCCCAGTACCTGTAGTCTGTGGTTCTGTGCCCTGTGAATTACTGTTCAGAGTAATGCTGTTCTAGGGTGGGATCATAAAGCAGAATCCACATGTAGTTTCCAGACTGTAATTACCATGCCGGAAAAGTTACAGGAGGTTTTAAAATTAAATCCGTAAGAGTAGAAGAAAAATGGCTCATTGTTCCTTTTTAAAATGCCTGCTTGACCCGATCCATCAGTCTGGTCTTTGTACGACTCTGTATGTAGCAGTTGACAGACCCTGTTGAAAGGAGCTTTCTTTTCAGGTTGCAAAATTAGGACAAATTATTGTGTTTTTTTTAAGCCAAAATGCAAGAGATTCTTAGTAATACAAGCGTGATCTTCATATAGATGAGGAGCAAGGGTTTTGTTTGCTTCTGGAGAAGAATTTAAACGTGGGGACGACACATGGCCTTGAGCATACACTTAGCTTCTGAGCCGCAGGGGAGTCTAGCCTGTTCTCCCGCGCCCCCATCGCTGCTCCCTGGCTTCCTCGCACTAAGCACCCAGGACCGGGCTGGCTAAAAGGAAAGGAAGCATGGGGCGGGGGCGGGACTTCCGCGTTTCACCCGCCACTCCTGGTGAACAGAGGTGTTTTGAGCCCAGGCACACTGGCAGTGGTCAGGGCTCCTGTGAGGAGGGGCCTGCTGCCCTGTGTGCCCAGGACGGGAGCACCTCGAATGCCCAGCCAAGGCATCAGGGCCCGTCCTTTCCTTCTGGTGGGAAGGTTATAGAAGCAACATAAGACTTCCTTTTTAGAATAAAATATTTCCCCAACTTTCCCTGTTCCTCTCCTTGCCTTTCTTCAAGGAAAGAGATTTGGATCTCTGATCCAGGTTCCCTCACCACGCCCTCTTTCACAGATGGGACCCGACCCTCGGGGTGGACGTGGGGTGAGCAGAGCCCTGAGTGTGATGATCGGGAGGCATTTCCTTCACTTGCTGGCTCTCTGGGGTCCGGTTCTGGCCCTGAGCCCGGAGCTGGCCCAGTCCGGCCCTGACAGTGTGTCGCTCAGCAGTGAAGGTCGGGCGTGCGAGAGACTCCTTGTGTTCTCGCAGGTGAGCTGCCCCGACCCTGCTGTTCGTTCTCGCCTCACTTCTCTCTGTGATGGAGGAGATCCTGGAAAGGGTGGTTAGAGCCCCTGCATCCTGTCACTCCCAGGGTCACAGGTGGGCCTGAGGCTGGTGGGCTCTGGCACACACTGTCCTTGCAGCGGGAGTCCAGAACTTAGGGCTGACGGGGCTGCTCTCCGTCCAGCTTCAAGGAGGCGTTTCATGCCATCAGTTGAGCCAGCTGAGGTGCCCTAAGAAGTTGACCAGGCCTCTTGAGGCAATGTAATGTCTCTGTCTCCAGTCTGTAGATTTAAAGTCATGTGGACTGACTCGCTCTGTTGTCAGTGAGCAGGGTTGTGTAGCTTATAATTCGACAAAGTATATCAAGGATGGTATTAGGATCTGTTTCAGGGATTCTCAGGAACTTTAAACTTAATATCATGAAAAGACCTTCAGAGGTCCTTCTAAAATGTGTAGTGAGCTCCAGCTGTGTGCCTGGTGTTGGGCAAAGCCCACCTTGCCCACAGGCAGCTTGCTTTCAGAATCTGCCACCCAAGTGCCACCTGCTGCTTTCCTGAGGTTAGCTCTCAGGACAGATGATCGACCCAGAGATCCCCAGTCGAGCGTCACCAGATGCTGAGGAGACACTTTCCACCTGTCAGGCTGGTCCGGTGCTGGGGTGGAAACCATGAGTGGCTTCTCGTGTATGGGTGTACGGCAGCTCCATCCTGCCTAAGTGGGCCTTTTCTTTTGTCCGTGGTACCTGCCGCCTTCTAGCCTGCTGTGTCACTTACTTACATATCACGGCTGTCACTTTACTCTCTTGACTTAGCCAGAGCGTATGCTCCAGTGGGCAGGGGTCTGTGTGTGTTTTGTTCACTTGCGCGTCCCGTGTGCCTAGGCACTCAGTGAGTACTGTCGTGGAGCTGATGACCGTGCTGTGTCGGGCTGCACAGCAGGTTCACGACCCACCGGTGGGCCGTGGTAGGCATGGGGGTGAGATCCACCGCATTCATCGTGGGGAATGCGGTCTACTGGTGCAGGGTGGATGGCGGTGTGTGCCCGGCCAGGCGCTGTGTAGGGGCCCAGGAGGAATAAGGAAAGCGGAGAGGGATACCTTTAGACATCACTTCAGATGATATGCAGCAAAATTTGATAGGGTAAGGCTGAGGTTCATAGCCGAGCTGCAAAGGAAGCAGATTTACAAGTCCAGAGCATAGTCATGAAAAGTCTGTGAGGCTTGGCCACACGTCCATACTGGAGTTGTGTGTGTGTGGGACTCATTTCAGGGTGTTTGATGCTGGGTACTTGTCAGAGGGCAGACTCTGGTGGCATCTCTGTGTGTGTGTCTGCAGGAGAAATACTGTTACATTTGCCCTGATATCGTCAAGGAATTTGCCAAGTATGATGTGGATCCTCAGAAGTGGATCAAACAGTACACGGGGATCAATGCAGTCAACCAGAAGAAGTTCATCATAGATGTTGGCTACGAAAGGTTCCTGGGCCCTGAGATTTTCTTTCACCCGGAGGTAAGATGTTAGCTTTTTGAGTGTGAGGTATGGCACATGTGGAGCGATACTGCCACCTCATGTGTGTACGGAGAGTCCCCAGTGGGGTTTCCTGAGCAGCTCTCAGGCCGCCTGTCGTGAGGACGCTGGGATACACGCTGCACCCTCTGCAGCTCTTACAGCCCCTGTGCAGGTTGCCTGCTTGACTGATGCCCCTCTTTAGACTTGGTTCTCCGTTAGAGATGAGTGATTAGGGAGAAGCTTTAAGAGCAATAGAAGATAATGGAAATGAAATTAATCCATAGTAATATGAAAACTAGTTAATCCCGGGGACCGAATGCAATCTGCCTTTGTATGGGAGTAGAGTAACATGTAACCTTTCCATCCTCGGTGATGGTCCATCCTAGTTGCAGCTTTTAACCCCAGACAGTTGGTCCTGCTGTGTTCCCTGCTGCAAGTTAGTTAAAGCTTCTGTCTGAGGACTAACCTTTCCATTGGTTAGATGGACTTTAGGAATTACAGATACCATCATTTTAACTATAGTCACAAAGAATTATTATTACTTTTGCAGAAGCAGTCATCAAGAGGCAACATTTTAAGGTTTAAATAAAGTGGATTTTATTTGTATTTTGGTATATTTTTCTGCCTAATTCAGTTTACATTTGATAGGTAGGTTACAAGCGGCTGCCTGTTTTTAGATGTGTATGACCATTTTGTATAGGGAAGTGGCACACAATGTATGCCTTACTATAATCTAATAATCATGCCTTTGATATTACTGATTTAAAATAGACATAAAACCGAAAATGTCCAGTGAACAGCCGGTGAGCAACTGGATGTTACCTTCTTCCCCTTGAGTACGTTAAAGCTTTCCTTGATTTTTAAAGTGTATTTAAAGTTTTTTTAAGTTGAATTATTTATACTTTAACTTATTTAACTTACAGAATTGAATCCAAGACTGTTTACTCAGTGACATGATTGCTACCATATTGACTGTTTCATTTAAAAGCCACCCCCCCGCCCCGAACCCTCCCCAGGCTTCTAGCTCAGGTTCACAGTGTGATCTTTCATTGACTGTGTTTTTTTCTTATATCATGGCTAGTTTTATCATGATGTTAATATTCATAAGTGGTATACTTATTGTGTATTCGTGGCGTTTTCATTACATGTCACATACATCATGCACACGCGTTTCACACTCTGACAGCAGGATTCACCGTGTGTCCTAATGCAGAGCTGGTCTGTTTTTGCTACTCTTTGATGTTTTCCCCTTGCTGACCCCACACATGTCATCTCCTGAGGGCACGTGTCACCATCACCCCGTGCACAGTCACTTGGGTTCTTCTGACATATGAACATTTGACGTAGTCATTCCAGTGTGATGGTTTTAACGGTATAGTACATTTTGTATTTGTTAGTTACTTTTTAAAAAGGTTATTGAGAGAAATGTGTAATGTTTCTTTTATATTTATATGAAATTCAGTTTGCCAACCCAGACTTTATGGAGTCCATCTCGGACGTTGTTGATGAAGTCATTCAGAGCTGCCCCATCGATGTCCGTCGTCCGCTGTATAAGGTATAAGCTTATACCTTATAAGGGTAAGGTGCTCGGGTTCATTGCACAGTTAAAGGCCCAGCATTCTTGGAATAATAGGTTCTTAACGTCAGTATGCAGATGTTCCTGTTTCACTCCTGTCTTACAGGATTTGTTAAAGGCCAGCATACTGGTGAAATATTTTTCTTGGAGTGGAGATGACTTAAATGTTTGGAAATAGGACTCAGCTCACCAGAAGTGTTTAAGTATTCTCATGGCTTTATTCTTACCTGGCCAGCTGTATTTTAAACTGGACAATTTTAACCTTACGTATTGATGGAAAGATGAAGGGTATCCTTCCCCTCATGGTTTCCATGAATTCACTGGTCTTGCTTCATGCGTATTTAGGTTTGTGCCAAATGTGCTGTTGCCAGGAAGAGGTCAGAGCCTGAAATGAAGCAGTCAGGTAGAAAATACTCATGTAATTTTCAGCCCTCAGCCTCTGCCCTGTCTTACCTTCTCAGCCCAGGGACTTGAGTTTAAAGAGGAGCATATCAGGCTCAGGAGTGAGGGCGTAATAAATTTTGTTTCATCTACACAATGGGATACTACGCAGTCTTTAAAAAGAATGAGGTGAATCAGTGTAAACTGAAATGAAAAGATGTCTGTAGTATACATTGTTAAGTGAAAAAGCAAGTTGTAAAGTTTACACGTAGTATTACTTTATTTAAAAATATAGTTTGCATATATATATTGAAAAGGTTTTGAATGAATGCTAAACTCTTAAAGAAAATAACATATCTTTGGGGGTAGAAGATGCATAACTTTTACCTTCTACTTGTGTTTTAAGATTGAAATTTTAGAGTTAACAAATGTTATTCTTATTATTGGAAAACATTTTCCTGTGTAGACAACTTTTTATGGGTGAAAACAAATTATAATTCTATTTTTATTGTTACATGTGCTTAATTAAACAGCTCTGTCCTCCAACAAAATGTGCAAGAAAGGGAAACTAGAGACAGGTGGGAGTATTAGTAAGTTTAGTAAAATACATGCCTTGCTCTCCCTACTTCTTAAATCTCACTTAACATCAGCTGTGTCTTCTTGTCCATGAAAGCAAGGAACAGGTGTGCACTCTTTAGTTTTTTTTGTGTGTGTGTGTGTGTTACGTGGGCCTCTCACTGTTGTGGCCTCTCCCGTTGCGGAGCACAGGCTCCGGATGCGCAGGCTCAGCGGCCATGGCTCATGGGCCCAGCCGCTCTGCGGCATGTGGGATCTTCCCAGGCCAGGGCACGAACCTGTGTCCCCTGCATCGGCAGGTGGACTCCCAACCACTGCGCCACCAGGGAAGCCCCACTCTTTAGTCTTTATTTCATCCTAACGGAAAAGAAACTTCTGCCAGCAGTTACAGATTGTTCATAGGTGAGATTTTTTCTCATCAGACAGTTTAGTTCACTTTCAGTACATTTACAGGAAGTAGAGATGGCCTTGTAACCTGGGCTCCTTGTTTATTAGATGATGGCCCTGAGCCCCAGAGATGGGAAAAGGAGGCAAAACTAGAGGGACCTGGGTCAAGTGGAGCAAACTGGTCTTGGACGTCTAAAAAAAATTATTGAGGTATAGTTGATGTACAATATTATGTAAGTTTTAGGTGTACAACCTAGTGATTTTCAATTTTTAAAGGCTATATTCCATTCCTAGTTGTTATAAAATATTGGCTATATTCCCTGTTTTTGTACAGTATATCCTTGTAGCCTGTTTATTTTATACATAGTAGTTTGTACCTCTTAATCCCCTACTCCTGTCTTGCCTCTCGCCCCTTCCCTCTCTCCACTGGTAACCATTAGTTTGTTCTGTATGTCTGTGAGTCTGCTTTGTTTTTGTTATGTTCACTGGTTTGTTTTCTTTTTAAGATTCCACATATAAGTGAGCTCATATAGTATTTGTCTTTCTCTGATTTGTTTCACTTAGCATAATACCCTCCAAGTCCATCCATGTTGCTGCAAATGGCAACATTTCATTCTTATTTATGGCTGAGTAATATTCCCTTGTGTATGTGTGTATGTATGTATATGTGTGTATATATATATATATATATACACACACACCACATTTTTCTTTATCCATTCATCTGTTGATGGTCGCTTAGGTTGCTTTCATATCTTGGCAATTGTAAGTAATGCTGCTATGAACTTAGGGGTGCATATATCTTTTTGAGTTAAGTGTTTTCATTTTTTTTTTTTTTTTTTTTTTTGCGGTACGCGGGCCTCTCACCGCTGTGGCCTCTCCCGTTGCGGAGCACAGGCTCCGGACGCGCAGGCTCAGCAGCCATGACTCACAGGAGCAGCCGCTCCGCAGCATGTGGGATCTTCCCGGACCGGGGCACGAACCCGCGTCGGCAGGCAGACTCCCAACCACCGCGCCACCAGGGGAGCCCCAAGTGTTTTCATTTTTTTTGGATAAATACCCAGAAGTGGAATTGCTAGATCATTAGGTAGTTCTATTTTTAGCTTTTCGAGAAACCTCCATACTGTTCTCCATAGTGGCTGCACCAATTTACATTCCCACCAACAGTGCACAAGGGTTCCATTTTCTCCACACCCTCTCCAGCATTTGTTTTTGTGGTATTTTTGATGATAGCCATTCTGACAGGTGTGAGGTGACAGCTCATTGTGGTTTTAATTTGCATTTCTCTGATGATTAACGGTGTTGAGAAACTTTTCACGTGCCTTTTGGCCATCTGTATGTCTTCTTTGGAAAAACGTCTGTTCAGATCCTCTGCCCATTTTTTGATTGGGTCGTTTGTTTTTTCTCATGTTGAGTTGTATGAGCTGTTTATATATTTTGGATATTAACCCCTTATCAGTCGTATCATTTGCAAATATTTTCTCCCATTCAATCGGTTGTCTTTTCGTTCTGTTGATGGTTTCCTTTGCTGTGCAAACGTTTTAAGTTTAATTAGGTCCCATTTGTTTATTTTTGCTTTTATTTTCTTTGCTTTAGGAGACAGATCCAAAAAATATTGCTATGATTTATGTCAAAGAGTGCTCTGCCTGTGTTTTCTTCTAGAAGTTTTATGGCCTCTGGTCTTACATTTAGGTCTTTAATCCATTTGAGTTGGTTTTTGTACATGGGATTAGAGAGTGTTATAATTTCATTCTTTTATGTGTAGCTGTCCGACAGACAGTTGAGTTTTGAGAGGGGTTAAGCTCCGGGTAGGATCACTTAGCTAAGTGGCAGGGGTGGGTTTTGAGTCCACTTGCCACACCTTTGAAAACTCGTGCTTTTTCCACCACATCACACTGAAGGTTATGTAAAATGTGGCAGGAAGACGATTCCTCAAAGAGGGAAACCCTGTCTCGACTGCTTCACCCCCTGGAAAAGTCATTTCTTCCCTGAGGCGTTCGAGGGCTTTCTGCTTGGCCCTGGTTGCCTGGCCCTGCTCCGCCGGCCGTGTTAGTGCTTCTGTGCGGGACCTTGGCCGAGTTACAGTAGGCTTGCGAGTGGTTTAGGATCTCAGTAGGCTTGGTGGGGGGCTGACTGGGGGTGGGCCGTGTTTTTCTCCTTTGTTGGGCTCTGTACCCCGTGGGGAAGGAGGGACACAGCGGGGCCCGGTCTGCGCTGCCACCCAGCAGGTGAGAAGCTAGCCCTGGCGTCTCGGTGCTCGCAGCACACGTTCACTTGTGTGTTCACGGACTGTCCCCTGTGAGGCGGCTCCCCTGGAGTGTCACGCTGGTGGTCACCCCTGCGTGGGAGCTGGCTGGCAGGCACCTGGCTCCCGCCTGTGGCCCGTCGCTGCCACGTGGCCCAGCCACACTGCCAGCCCTGGGCGTGGGGAGGGTGAGGACTGTCTGCTGGCACCTCCGCCACGGCCACCACGAAAGGGACTTGTTTCCAGAACAAAGGGCTTGATGAGTGAATGCAGGTGTAACATCGAAGCCTAAACATGCCCTTTCCTGCGTGCTTGCCTGCTAGGTAATAATGGCTGTCGTCATGCTTTTCCCCGTGGTGGTTTTAGACCAGGGGTTGGCCAGCTCTTTCTGCAAAGGGCCAGATGGTAAGTATTTTCAGCTTTGTGGGCCATTCGGTCTGTGTTGCTGCCAGAGAACACGTGAGTGACCAGGAGGGGCTGTGTTCCCAGGAACTTTGTATATGAAAACAGGCGTTGGGGATGTAGGTGGGAAGCGCGATTCTCACACTTTCCGGCTCAGGCCTCACGCACTCATTCGCTGACTGCAGCCAGGGCTGCTGTTGGGAAAGGCTCCTCTCACCGCAGGGCCCTGTGGCCCCCGCCGGCCACTGCTCTGCCCCCTCGTGTCCAGAGGCCGTCACCGCGTGTTCCGGGCTCCGGGGGCAGCATCCCGGGCGGGCGGCCTTGTTCTTCGGATTCGCTGTGAACTTTTGGTCCCGCTTTCCTCCTCCTCCTCCAGAGTTTAGCCGTGAGCTTGCTGTGGAAAGAACCTTCCACCGCGACATCTGTGTTCATGAAGTGCACAGATGTACAGTTTGTGGGATTTTGAAAGTAATTAGAGACATACTACATACAAGTGCTTCTGCAGAGCACGTGGGCGTCTCGCTCTGGAGAGCTGTGTTCACGTGTCTTTAGGTAGCACGTCTTTCCTCTCCAGTCTTACCATTACTTTGTCATTCCCTCCTCTGTTACCGATGTTTCTTCCTACCTGCTGGGCCCCCTTTTGTCAGTGTCCCAGACACGTGCCGTGGGACTTAAAAAGTACTCAGTAACCACTAAAGAAGTAGGAAGCAGGTTCGTACCCAAAGAAACTCATGATTGCCCACGGGAAGCAGCCCGTCTGCTGTGCCCTGCTGGATTCCGTGCCCGGGCAAGGTGCCCCTCCAGGAGGCTGGTTTCCTGACTCCTGCCTCGGTGCACTGTCCGCGCAGTGCCCACAGGCTCAGACGGGCGGCCGAGGTGGCCGAACCAGCCAGAGGGGAAGCCACAGGCCCCGCGGGAAGGGCTCTGCTTCTCAGCCTCAGAGGAAGGGGTCTCCCCGTTGCCTCACCTTCTCCCAAAGGCGCTGTCT